ATATATTTTAATATTATTAACATATGAATAATTTTGATTGATTAATTAATTAAATTAAAATCAACATTTACAATTTTAATAAAAATTAATTATAAAAAATTATACTTACTACATACTTATCTTATGTTATTAGAACACATAATAGAAAAACTATTTCAATAAATATTGTATTTCATTTACCGTATTCTATGCTTTAATAAAGATAAATCCTTGTCCGCTGGGTCCTATATAATCCATGGCTAGCAATTTTAGATCCATTTCTGCGAACCAATTTGTCAGTAAAATGAGTGCCGGGGAAACATTGGTCTTTAAACCATGGGCATGGGCGGTCTTCATTCTGGCAGTCCTCATGGCTGGGTTGTGGGCGGGACACGATAAACTTGTCGAACCAAGAAAGCTCGCTACTACTGACAGGCCAGGTAACTGAATCAAAGCATATATTAAACTATATAATATCAATTGATAGTAATTTTATAAAATATAACTTCTTAGTTTAATTTTATTTTCTTTTAATTTGAGTTCCAAATTGATGTTTCATTATTATTAACATGATTTTAATTTGTATGGAGTGAAGGTTCAATAAGCATTGATTGTGGGGTGAATGAAGATTATATGGATGAGCAAAGTGGAATCCATTACGAGTCAGATTCGGAATTCGTTACAGCTGGACTGAATAACGTGGTATCCCCACAATACATACTGGACAATCCTCAACTTGGGCCGATGCTTAAAACCTTGAGAAGTTTTCCAGAGGGAAATAAGAGCTGTTATCACCTTAAACCTGAACAAGGCAAGGGCCACCACTACATGTTCAGAGCCTTCTTCCTTTATGGAAATTATGATGGCCTTCAACAACCCCCTACGTTTGACCTATACCTCGGCGTGAATTTTTGGGCAAATGTGAAATTAGATATCGACGGAACGTCCTGGGACTACGAAATCATTCAGTTTTTAAGCACCGATACAATAGATGTCTGCTTGGTGAATAATGACTCCGGTATTCCAATCATTTCTGGGTTGGAACTTCGGCTTTTGAAGGACTCCATTTACCAGATTGAATCAAAAGCACTCTTATTACAATTCCGTTATGACGTCATGCGCGGCTATTATTGGTCCAGGTACATAATAAGAACCTATGCTAGTTTATATATTTAGTTTTGATATGGAGAATGGTTCGCAGATTAAAATGGACCCTTAATCGCTAAATTTAAATTTTTAAGTTTAAATAAACACCTTTTTAAGTGTAAAATTTTATAAATGATAGCCAAAACTATTTTTTTTTCAATTTATTAAAATGTTTACTTTAATTCACTGTTAGTAAATTTTAACAATCAAAACTAAAATCTAAAACCAACATTACTAAACGGCCTAAGGAAGTTGCTTTTTATTTTTAATTTTGATTATTGTTTATGACTAAAAGTAGACTATTGTGGTTTTTATTAAAAATTTTATTAAAAATGAATTGTGCTCCAAAACTTGCTCGCCCAATTGGTCCTGCACCATGATCAATGGTTGGAATTGTCTAGGTCCGTCAGTTTCGGCCCATAAATAATTATTCAGGCTGCTTTAAATACATTTTTGTCACACTTTTTTAAAAAAAGTAATTTAATTAATTAATTTATTTTTATTTTATACATAATATTAAAGTCTCTTTTTTCAACCTCCAACTCCCATTGTTAATAAGAGCAAACATGAAATTTCAATTCATAATAACTGTGTTTTTATAAACTTTAATATATATTTTTTTGTAACCATATTGTGCAAAAATTTGGTAAGTAAAATGGATCTCTAAGAGTCCTCTCATCTTGTATATATATAACGTGAGAGCAAAACCAGTTTAACTCCAACCCTTTTTAATGCAAATTGCTGTTATCCTTATCCCTAATGCGATTTGGGGTGGGTGGGAGCATCTAATGTCCTGTAGATTTAGAAATACGCACTTAACTTTTAAGTAATTAAATATTAATTGTGAATACAAAAATTAATTTTTATAAATATATAATGTCGAAAATAACTTTATTATATTATTCTCTTTCTCTTTAGATACAAAGATGATGTTTATGATCGTCCCTGGGATCATTTCACTTTTTCTAAAGCGCGCTTAATCCAAACGAGGGCAAACATGGATATCCAAGTCAATAACAGTAATTACGGAATTCCAATGGAGATTTTGGGAACGGCTGCACAACCACTGAATCACTGGGATTCATTGAAATATTCACAACATAACCTTGGTTGGGATCTATACGTCTACTTCCATTTTGCTGAGATTGTAAATACCACAGAAGATCAACGACGAGAAATTAGCATTACATTGAATGATGTGAAGTTGACCCCAATTACTCTTGAATACTTAAAAACACTAAGCGTAGGACCTCAGAACATTTCAAGTGATGGATTTGTGAACTTTTCAATTAATGCAACGGCAGAGTCTACTCTTCCACCCCTTCTCAATGCCTTTGAGGTTTATGCGGCTGCTTCTTTCCTGGAATCACCAACGTACCTTGTCGATGGTATGATTTGTGTTTTTATTATTTTATTATTATTTTATTATTTTTAAAAATCTAATTGACACATAATTAGTGATATTAGTTGCATACCCTAATCTTAAGGCATGGTCCCCTATTTCGGTCATTCACTACAAGAAAACTCAAAATCATCGACCCCAAATCACCGACGTAAAAATTGTTATCGGTAAATGAGCATTTTACCGACAAAAAACATATCTGTAAATGTAGTAACAGTAAAAATTACAATAATTTATATTATTTAAAGTTCGGATAAAATCTTCGTCGGTAATTTAATGATATACACATGTGCTCCTTGTCGGTAAAATTCTGCAAACTCCGGCCGGTGGCGCGAGAACCAATAACTCATATACCGACATGATCCTTATAGGTACCTACACAGTCTCCAACCCACCCCGTGAATCGGCTGCTCGCGCCAGGTTTGTAGCTTTTTTTTTTATGTTTATCGACGTGATCCCGAACCAATCAAACGTTTACACCTCATTAAAGTAGGCCAACTCATCTTTAACATAAAAACAGCTCAGCACAGTTTAACGGAGAATTTCTACGGCCTTTCTCTTGTCTTCCCTTTCAGTTACTTCTCTAATCCTTCTCAAAT